CGTCGATGCTGCTTCTCGCTGGTGTCTTGCATGCGGAGGCGGTGCCCGGTTTCGTTCGGGCAGTCGCTGTGTTTTCTTTCACGGTCGCACTGTCCACCCAGCCTGCGCGGTGTGTTCTCCAGCGCCGCCTGCCTCTCAGGTACCTTGGCCTGTTGCTGGTGAAGCTGAGCCCTGCTCGGGCCAGGCTGGGGGCTGGTGCCCCTGAGTTTGGGAGCCTGCCTGAGTCGGTGGCTCTGCTTGTTGAGATGGTGCCCTGTTCTGCGGGAAGCAGCTGCCTCATGGCTGCGCCAAGATCGCATAGCTGCCTTGCCATCGGGGGTGGTATGGCAAGGACCATGTATGGACCTGAGTGTGTCACTTGGATGTGGCAGAAACAAAAATCAGGCTGTCCTTTAAACCTAAACCGATGCAGTTATTGAAAAACACAAAGGTAATGTAATAATGGCCTGCATGGGGAGGTTGGTACCATATCATTAAGTATGTCCTTTCCCCCATCTCTGTTAAAGATTTTGTGTGCCTCAAGTAGTTTGTGAGTTGAATTGTACTCTTCAGCACTTCAGCAGTGAATTTGACAGCACGCGCATGGTGAAACTGTGACCAATGGCTTCTGGGCTCCAGCTTTGTGAAGCAGAACCTACTCTCCTAAATGCACTTGAAGATTTCCTAGCATGAATGAGAAGTTTAGAACTGGAACTGTTGTTTTTGAAAAAGCCTGGTTGATTCTGCTAGTTAATAGTCTAATATCCACATCTGGGTTCAAGTAGCAAGGTTCATACTTAATGCGTGGGTTGCTTTTTTGTCTTGTTTGAAGCTCACTGTTCCCATCATTACCCTGCTCACGTGTTCAGTTGTTAAAATCTGGATGCATTTTTGCAGAGGCAATGCATTTCTGCATATGCTGGAAGTGATCTTTTATTAATTTTTTTAGAGAGAGCTTTTCACTAAGAACTTGTAAATATTCTAGTTTTAGAGTACTAACCTACTTTTGTAGGTTATAGCTATGCTTTGCTGAACTTTGAGTCTCTTATGTAGAGTAATCCTTTTTTTTAAACCATTACAAAAATAAAGAAGTGGCATTCTGACTATGGAAAGGCCAATTTGTGCGTTGAAAGAAATCCATGTAGATTTTTTAACTGGATGTCAGGTGCTGTAGTCTCATCTACTTTCAAGTATTTTATTGTTGACTGGTATTTCAGTTCCCTAAAACCCATGGCAAAATAAAATTGCTAGAGTTCTCAAGTATTTTTTTTCTTTTAACTTTACTAGCTTGGTAGTTGTAGTCTTCTTGGAAATTGAAAGCAGAAGGTATGTGTTGTCTTACTCTGTGTTGCACAAAATGATGTTTTGGTGGTCATAGCAACTTGTAGAGCTCAGGCCTTTGGCTGTTTCATTAATCTTTAATTCATCGAATCTTCCTGTGTGTCTAGTAAAGTATACTTCTGCTGTAAGAAGCTGAAGGTGAAATTCAGGATTTATTTGTTCCAGGCATACATTTGCATGATGTCTGAAAGTAGCAATAATCTGCTCTGAAAGCTGTGTTGATGAAAAAGCCTGGTCTGTTCTACTTGCTATAATGTACTATGCATAAGTAACAGGATTGAAGTCCCAACAAAAGAGGTGCTTTTTGCTTTATTTTTTTTTCTTTTTGCTTTTAGTAACTTGTCTGCAAAATATTGGTCTCATCTTCATCGTGTTAACATGTTCAGCAGTTACAATGTTAAGATGTTCTACCACAGCAAAGCTCTCACCTCGCCGTATCCTGGATCGCGTGTTGAACGTAGCCAAGTTCCTGAAGATAAAGTGGGCTGGTTGACCGAGTGGAAAGATTATAATCCTGTGGAGTACACTGCGATGTCTGTTTTGGCTGGACCCAGTTGGGCAGATCCCCAAATCAAGTGAGTGGAAATGGTGGCTCTTTTCTCCTGGGAACATGGAAGGAAGGAAATGGTGATGAGTTAATAAGATCATCAGCTTAAGTGACGTGATTCTACAGTGATGCATGAAATTCAAGACCTAGAGAAATGATGGCGAGAGAACTGAATGGTTTTTGTTAGCTGTGAAGGTCTACCCCTTTCCAGTTTAAAACCGTTGCCCCTTGTCCTGTCACTACCTGCCTTGTAAAAAGTCCCTCCCCAGCTTTCTTATAGGCCCCCCTTCAGGTACTGGAAGGCTGCTATAAAGTCTTCCTGGAGCCTTCCCTTCTCCAGGGTGAACAACCCCAACTCTCTCAGCATGACTTCAAAGGGGAGGTGCTCCAGCCCTCTGATCATCTTCGTGGCCTTCCTCTGGGCTTCTATTAACACCTCCATGTCCTTTTTTTTTTTTTTTTTTGAGGACTCCAGAACTGGTCACAGTACTCCAGGTGGGGTCTGACCAAAGCAGAGTAGAGGGACAGAATCACCTCCCTCGTCCTGCTGGCCACACTTCTTTTGATGCAGCCCAGGATGCGGTTGGCCTCCTGGGCTGCAAGTGCACATTGCCAGCTCATGCTGAGCTTCTCTTCACTAGCACCCCCAAGTCCTCTTCCTCAGGGCTGCTCTCAAGCCATTCTCTGCTCAGCCTGTATTTGTGCTTGGGATTGCCCTGACCGAGGTGCAGGACTTGTTCTTGTGTTTGTTGTTTGCTGCAGGTGGAAGAGGGAGCTTTGAGAGAAGCAACTTTTGAGAAAGGAAATACACTTCTGTAGACAGTTCCTTCTCTACCAGTTTTCAGAGGCGCACATATGAGATTGGATTTAAGCTAGTTTTGAAAATTGGTGATTGATTATTATCTTTTAACTTTGAAAGATCATAACTATAAATTTCTGCTATTTTTTTTAATTAGCAAAATGTCTTTTAGTTTTATCAATGGATAAAGTCCTTCTGTGTTCTCTGACAAGAGATCACCTTTGAAACACTGTCTAAATGAAAGTTTAGTGTCTAAAGTGTCTAAATGAAAATCTAGAGAGAAGCAATGTTAAATACAATAGAGGGACGCACTTATGTCTGCAGAATTAAACACAGGGAGACTGTCAGCAGTGAAGGTTGAGACTTTATATCCCCCTATAAAAAAGGGAGGGCCTGCTGTGAAGCCCCTAGTGGTTATTTACCTCAAACAGGCACTGTGAAAAGACACTGAGCAGAGACAGATGTTGCCAACAAGGGTATGTGAACTGTTAAGCTATATGAGCAGAAGACCTTGAGAAGCAGATAAGGTTGGGCATGAGAGGGGAGAGGGGGTCCTAAGGAGTTGGAACAGCCTTCTCCCAAGACCCATCCCACTTCAGTAATTGCAAAGTGGCCTTTTGCTTCATTATTGGCTAAATACATATAACGGGTGACACCCATGAATATGCAGATGAGGATTACAGAGTACATGCACCACATGTAGAGGCACGTCTGTGTTTTATGTTTTCGTGTAAGGGCATGCCCTTCTTGTGTCATTGATTGAGAAGGCAACACAGATGTGGAAGCATTAAAGACACCTCCAGCAGGGGCCAAGTGTGCACCTGTCACTGGAGGCCCTCACAGAAACATCATGGGAACTAATGATGGTGTCTGTTTTACCACCTGATATTTTTGGGTTTTTGTTTGTTTTGCTTGCTTCTTTTCTCTCTGTTCTTTCTCTCTTTCTCCTTTCTCTCATTCTTTCTTCTTGAAGCCTTGGGCTGGGTATTTGCTATCATATGCCTTATAATCTCATGTTTAGCTGAAATCATGGTAGTTGATAAATCTTTTGCCAAGACTCTTGTAGATTGCAGTTGCCAATAATCTGTAAAAGACATTTTTTTTTTAAGCTTGCTGTGTCTTGAATTCTGACCCACCACAGCTTGGTCTCTCTGCAGTAGCATAATGAGACATTTCCGTTTTGTTTTGAACCCTTGAAGCAGGCCGCTTTCTTTCATTCTGACGCAGAGATAACGCACAGCTTGGTCTGTCTGCAGTAGTGGGATGAGACACCTGCAACTTAAATTCTGGTAAAAACTGCTCATTGGTCAAATGGGTGTTGCAGAGCTGGTGGTTGGCCTTCCAGATTTTGTGGGGAAGAGGGATGTTTTGTATTTATTAACTTATCTTTATTAAATTCTTCTACACGCAGTGATAAAAGTTTTTCTCCCAAATTCAATGAGAGAGATGGAGAAGTGGAGAGGAAGAGTCTGAATGGTGTGTATGCGGTTGAAAATGGGAGACCCCGGTGAGTGTGTGGGTTTTTTTTGATTGCATACTTATTTCAGTGATGTGATTTCAGAGCTCTTGCAGATCTATAAGTTTTGATACATGGTACCTGTTAGAACAAAATGAGGTTAGTCTCCCCTAGAGACAGGTAAGGATACAGCAGTGCCAGAGAGTTCCTTCCGAGAGAAGGTTGTGGCAGAGAGGCACTAAAAGGTTAGTCAAGACAACCACAACAGAGAGCTGTGGTGGCGTTGGAGAGGGAGGAGGCCTAACACTGTTAAAAGGATCTGTTGAATGAGTTGTTTCTGCAGTTTGACCAAGTGTTGGACTCTGAAGCTTTTCTACCACCCACGTGCTTTGGTGGAGCGGGAGAGTATTTCCTTCCACTGACAAATCCTGGCGTAGCACAGATGGGTAATCTCATCTAAAAGTGTCTTCTTTCTGCCATTTGTACATGATTGAATTCTGTGCATCTGTAGTCTTGAAACTAGATTTTATTCTCAGATGAGGCAGTGTTGCACAAGGAGAGCAATGCTTGAACAGGAGTACCTCGGGACATAAAATCTGGCACATTGTGCTGGTTTTTAGCTGGACAGAGTTAATTTTCCTTTATAGTACCCTGAAATAGAGTTAATTTTCTTCATAGCAGCGAGTATGAGACTGCTTTGGATTTGTGCTCAGAATAAAATAACACACTAATGTTTTAGCTGTTGCCAAGCAATGTTTACATTAAGCCAAGGACTTTCTTCAGTTTCTCAAATGGTCCTTGTCACAGAGACACAGCCAGGACAGCTGACCTAAACTGACCAAAGAAATATTTCATGCCATTGGACTTCATTTTCCATATATAAGCTGGTGGGACTTAGCTGGGGACTGGCTGGGTGTCAGTCAGCAGATGGTGAGCAGTTGAATAGCTTGTTTTTACTTGGTTCTGTTCTCCTTTACTATTTTATTGTCTTTATTATCATTACAGTTTATTAGTTGTAGCGTTGTTATTTTAATTTTATTTCAATTAAAGTGTTCTTATCCTAACCCATGAGATATCTTTATCCTTATCTTTTTTCCTCCCATTCACTCCCCCATCCTGGGAGGTGGGGTGATGTGGGGGGCAGTGTGTGGTTGTCGTGGTTTAGGCCCAGTGCATAACTGAGCACCATGATGCCCCCCCCAAAAAAAGGGCTAGTCAAAAAAAGGACCAGAAGGGCTTCTCACCGCTTAAATAGGTCACAGGTAAAAGACAGACTCATCATAACGAATAAAAAA